AAGAGCGGTGATTAGTTAAAGAAGATAGAATTAGAGCCATCAAAAAAGTTCATTTTTTGTAAATAGTTCGTGTTCGACTGGCTAAGTAGCCTGTGTTTAATTCATTTATTAAGCAAGGGAGCTGAACATGAACAATTTTCTTAATTTATAAATGAGTCTAATGCGAATAAATTATTTCTCACTTGTGTTTATCTCATTTTGGCTTTAATTAGTTAAACAATTAAACAAATAATAATATGATAATATTTTTAAATTTATTTAATATGTTGTATTTTAAAAAATATTATATTTTGTTCTTTTTAACAAAATCATTCCAGCTAATTTTGAGCCGAGCACAAACTAGCACTGTGCTCGCTCAAGCTCGGCTAATTTACACCCCTAAATAGGATGTTCTGTTGGAGAAATGTTAGAAAGAAAGAGAATCATATCTCGCTGGGAATCAAATTTATGCCTATACTTTCATGTTTAAGGCTGAGAATTTGGCTCGATTTTTGTTAAGTATCAAATTAGTTCTTAGTTTATTTTGAAATTAATGAGCTTAAACCATATTGAATCAAACATGGATTAAGATATTCTTGGATCTAATTGAGCTATCTGGAGACTTGATCAAGCAAGTGTATATGCGACCGTGCATGTATGAATGTATTTTTGAATGCATATATGCAACCATGCATTTCTATTTGAATACAAACAATTATGCATCTAGTAAAGTATTAAAATATTTATCTATGCTTGCGAGTTTCATGTGAATATGTGGGATAATAATTTAAAATCAGCTTTTTATTGGGTTAGATTGAAATCTACACAAGTATTTATATGTAATATAGTAATATAAGTTTACATTTATTTTTCTTATATGTGTGTGTGTGTTTTGCTGTGTAATTTTCAAATTTTGCTACTAACAAGCATTTCATATTGATATATTGGACAGTCTCTTGAATCTAAAAGCTCAATCAGGGCGTGCAGCAAGCTGCCAGTGTCCCTCGGTCCACTTCCAAGCAGCAGCTTAGTTGAAGTTGGTGGGTGGGGAAGCATCCCTTCTCTTGGGGATCTTGGACTCCAAGAACCGAAGGCAGGTCAATGTATATATTCCTCAAAAAGTGTTTTTTTGAAAAACTTTTTTTACATACATGCCACTTTATCTATGTCTTAAAAGGTGTAATTTACTTTTTAAAAGTTAAAATGGTTCTATTTTTGATGTGATATGAATGATTTGGGCGGTATAAATGCAAAAAAGTGAAGTTTAGCTGTTAGATATGCAAATGCTTAGGAATTGGCTGGTATTTATGTAAATGCCCCATTTTTTTTTTCTAGTTGTTGCATTTGAGGGCAAAATTTTCTTATAGAACATAGTATTTGAATTCATTTTTAACATTCTCCATTTCACATTTTAGTTCATCAACAATAAACTAAGGGGAGAATGTGGCCATTCTCAATGCAGGTGGACATGGGAATGCATTTTGTTGGAGGTGAAAATGCAGCTTTGGGCAGAGTGCATGAATATTTTTGGAAGAAGGTATACATTCATCAATGAGCTAGAATTTAAATGAATTATTAATTTATTTACTTGAAAGCAAGTGTATCACCTTACTTCTTGCAATATCAACCAACAATTTTTTACTCAAATCAAACCAAACCAAACCGAAATATAATTCTATTTAATTATTTCGGTTATAAGCAAACCAATATTTAATATTTTGTACAAGTTTATTAGAGAAGTAAAAAGTTAAAGAGATTACAAAGTATGCATTTACAGCAACATAAACTCATTGAGTCTAAAATTCTAAAGGATATTCTAAAGCTTCTATCAAATTTATAACCCTCAGCTTCTTAGAAAGTATCATAGAAAGAACCTCAAAAAAGAAAGATAAGTTACTACACAAAAATTCTGGCATCTTGAACTGTTCTTCAACAAAATAATGAAAGCATTGCTAAAATAACTAGATAGATTACAATCAGCAATTTTAACATTCCAAACTATCATTTTTCTGCTATCAAATTCAACAAGAATAATAAGTCCTATAAGTGTCTGCTTATTTAGTAAAAAAAATATATATTTTGAGAACACAAATCAAGTTCAGTTAAACAACAACAACAATGGCAAGCCTTCATCATCCCACTAAGTGGGGTCAGCTACATGAATCCTTTTTTTCCATTGAGTCCAATTGAGTGTCATGTTTTCATTTAATACTAATAAATTAAAATCATTTTTTTTATATCATATGCCCAAGTCTTTTTTAGTATTACCTCTGCCTTTCTTATCATAAGTCAAATCTAAACATCTACTCTCATAATGGGATCATCAGATGGTCGGCATTTAATGTGACCAAACCAACTAAGACAACTCTCTCTATTCTTGCTCCCACCAGAGCTGCACAGATTCTTTCACGGATACTTCAGTTAAAACAAAAATAAAATATTTTCTTAAAGCTTGTTTAAGTTGTGTATATGTTTCAAGCTAAGAACACACTTGCTCAAATTGTCAAACCCTGTGTCCCTCTTCACAGGAAAATAGAAGGAAAAAACTAACATCTGATAAGCTGCAGGGCTTCTCATAAAACTTCATCTAAAGAGAAAATTAATATGATTAGGAGATTTTAAATCTACTCTGCTTGTTTCCAGGATCTGTTAAGAGTGTACAAAGAAACACGGAATGGGATGTTGGGTACAGATTATTCAACAAAATTCTCTCCTTGGCTTGCTTCCGGCAGTCTTTCTCCAAGATATCTGTATGCTGAGGTAATTGTTCCCTATTAAAAATTTGTAAGATTTACATATCTAACACCTAAACTTCAATTTTTACATACACATTCCTTATAAGTGAAATTCCCTATGAATGAAAAGGTGAATTTCAATTTTAAAAGTTAAGATGGTGATATTTTTTATGTGATATGAAACAATTTGGTGGTATAAATGTACAAATTAAAGTTTAAGTGTTAGATATGTAAATACAAAAGAATTGTGTGGTATGTATGTAAATGCTCTTAAAAATTTTCTTGGTAAAAGTTATTCTCTAAATCATCAGCACCGCTGGTTCTTTTTTTCACTTTATGTGCCAGGTAAAGAGATATGAGAAAGCGAGAATTGCGAATGACTCAACATACTGGTACCTTACTTTGTATTGTGGTTATATGATCTGCATCAAATTTTAGGAAGGTTTACCTACATACCACTCAGATCCTATGTGTTTGGTGGTAGAAATGTAAAAAGTAAAGTTTAGGTGTTATATATATGTAAGTACATAGGAATTGAGTGGTATGTATGCAAACACCCCTAAATTTTATGCTGACTATTTATACTGATATCAACTGAAAAATACACTGTCAAGAATGATTTTTATGCTGTACAGTTTTACTGATTTTATGAATTTGATTGCAGGGTTTTATTTGAGCTGATATGGAGGGACTACTTCAGGTTCCTTTCCATTAAACAGGGAAATTCTATATTCCATCGCGGTAATTACTTTTCTACCTTTGTTCCTCCATTTTCATTCTTCAATTGCATACCATTTATGCTAGGGGCATTTACGTACATACCGCTCAATTCGTATGAATTTATATATCTAAACACCTAAATTATGCTTTTTACGTTTTCAACACCCAAATCTTTCATAGCACGTAAAATGTACCGCGATTTTAACTTTTAAAAAGTGAAATAAACTTTTTCATGGACAAGGTGGTATCGACGTCAAAATTGAAGTTTAGGTGTTAGATACATAAATATATAGGAATTGGGTGGTATGTATGTAAATTTTCCTTTATGCTTTTGGCTACCCTAGAATATGCATTATCTTGGTCACTCATGATTTGAATTAGGCCTTCACCGTGTTATTTTCAGGCGGTCCGAGAAAGTTGGGGACCAATTGGAGTCAAGATGGTTCACTATTTGAGTCTTGGAGAGGAGGTCATACTGGGTACATTTTATTATGCTATAAAACTTTTAGGGCGCGTTCACATAAATACCACCTAATCCTTATGTATTTACATATCTAACGCCTAACAAATTTTTCAATTCACATAAAAAGGGTATCACCATTTAGTTCTTAAAAAACCGAACTAAACATTTTCATGCATGGTTAAGATGGTACGAACACGCAAAAAATTGAGTATAGGTGGTATATATATGTAAATACATAGGAATTGAGTGGTATGTTTGTAAGTCTACCAAGCTTTTATGATACTGTGCCTGAATCTACATTCTAATATGTTTGGTTTATTTTCATACAAGTTATCCCCTAATTGATGCGAATATGAAGGAGCTTTCTACGACTGGCTTTATGTCCAATCGTGGGCGTCAGGTAACTTTTATGTTTGTACATCTAAATGTTTTCTTGTATTGTTGGGATTTTCAGTTCCTTTAAACTATTATGTTTGTCTGCAAATCCGAGTTTATTAGGGTCTTTTTTATAAATATGGAAATTTAAGTAGAGTATGGCGCAAAAGATCCACCCTTGTCACTTGAAGTGTCAGCAGATTTGGAGAAATATATAGTTGATCTGTAGTCCTTGGAAGGTGATTTAACCAATCCTACTCTAAATCTGTATGGTCCTAAGTTCTGCAAATGGCATTACTTAATTAAAGCTCCTAATCTGTATGCTATTGGAATTTTTTTATCTGATATTTATAACAAAATAATTCAATGTTTTTTAAGTAATTTTCTCTTTTGTGCATTATATGTATTTTTTATAACTATTCTGTGTTGCAGATTGTCTGTTCCTTCTTGGTTAGAGATATGCAACTGGATTGGCGCATGGGAGCTGAGTGGTTTGAGTCATGCCTCATTGATTATGATCCCTGTTCTAACTATGGGAATTGGACATATGGAGCAGGTTTGCTTTCTTTAGCCGTGTCAACTCGGGTTCTAGTCTAACCCGAATTTGTTAAATCGAAATTGTGAGACTCAAACAAGATCCGCATAACCTGTTTAATACACGTATGATACTTTTTTTTGGGTAAAATTCGGATTAATTTTGAGTCAGGTTCAGGCAGACTGGCCGGATTCTGACAATTTCAGGTGAACAGATCAACCTGAACCCCCACTTAAAAAATTTAAAATGTATTGGGAAATTGGATATGAACCTGACCTGAAAATTAATCGGTTCAACCCACTCAAATCCAAAATTTTTGAGTTGGCATGTGCCAATTTTTAAAAACCCTAACTCTCTTTCTACTATTTGCTTTTCTTTTCTAATTTAAAAGCTTCTTTCTACCGTTATTGCTGGTTATTAAATGTTCCCCATCTTGAAATAACTCCAATTGTGTTCTTCTATTATTTTTTATCAGGTGTTGGCAATGATCCAAGAGAAGACCGTTATTTTAGCATCCCAAAGCAGGTATGTTTTCTCCCTTCTCTAGAAAAAAAATATTACGTGTGAATAATCCGCAGAGGGCCACCTCTCTTTTCTTACTTATGCGTGCATAATATTTTCTTCTTTTATAGATAGTGCCGAAAATATGTACTGCAAATTATAATCATTATGAATATTACAATTCATTTTTTCAACATATTGAACGTTATTAAATAAGTTGGATTATATTCAAATTTGATTCATTGAACATTCGAGTTTAAAAGAAAAGTTCAAATTTATTTATTAATTAATTTAATAAATATGATCAAGCATTAATCAAACTGAGTTTGAGTTGATCAATTGTTTTTGTTCGTTTATAACTCTATTCACATAGATTTATTTTATTTTTATTTTGTTTAGGCAAAGATTTATGATCCTGAAGGTGAGTATGTTTCATATTGGTTGCCAGAGCTACAGTCTATTCCAAAGGAGAGAAGAAATTTTCCAGGAAAATCATATATCAAACAAGTGGTGCCTCTTAAGTTTGAAAACACAACACATAGGGAGAATCATTTCAGTAAAGATAATAAGTTCTATAAAAAGAAACAATATTGAATGAATGCATAATCTTGGTCAATTTCATTATATCTTACCTCTTATATATTATAAAGTGCCAAAATATTACTCGATTACTTATATCAAGTCATTTTAATCCCAGAGTTTATATTAGTGTTGAATTGATCCCCCTATTTTTTAAATTGGGGTTAGAAGAATAGCCATGAAGAACTAGTAGAGCTTAAATTTATTAAGTATGGGATCAATTTGTTGTTTTTATAAATTTTAGGACACGCGATTGTATGTAAATAGTCCGTTCAAAACAGCTTAGAACAATTTACATTGGCAATTTGCAATTTGCTCTTACACCCCATATATAGATGTTTTGCTTGGTCCAATTCACATTGGCAATAGCTTTATGGCAAAGTATAGTTTCTTTCTTTTTTATTTTTTTAGTTCTTTGTTTAAATATATGTTCCCATTTCGCTCATGTATCATTTGATCTCTTGTTGCTAGCTTTTGTATTTTTAACATTTACTTCAGATATTTAATTTTTAATTACTTTAGTCAATATTAATGTCTAATATCAATTTTTTTAAAAGAAAAAAATGTTATGAGCTTTATAAAAAAAATTTATTTCCCTCTTAACTTGATATTTTTAGATAACTTGTGAATATTAATGTCTAATATCAATATTAATGTATTTTTTTTTAAAAGAAAAAAATGCATAACTTGATATTTTTAGATAGATATATCTGTAATATATATTTATAACCAATCAGCCTCTAAAATCCTTCCCAATCAACTTTTTCACCCGGAGGCTTTTGCAGTTCGAATGTGTTGAATATAAGAGCTACTAAAGAGCCCAATTATTATGTATTTGCATATCTAACCCTTAACTCAAAACTTATTTTTTACATGTATGCCACCCAAATCTTTAATATTATATAACAAATACCACTATTTTGACTTTTAAATGGTCATGGGTAAAGTAGCGTATATGTCAAAAATGACGTCTAGGTATTAAAAATGTAAATACATAGGAATTAAGTGGCATGCATGTAAATCTTCCCAAATCTATTCATTGTGATGATGGAATCCTGGAAGAAGAGAAGTGATGAACCCAATAACAAACATCTGGATCTCCTTAAGAACATACCAAAAATGGTTTTGATTTCGCCGACCAGCCTCCGGCGGATTCTCGTTCGCAACAGCAGGCAGCTGATCATTCTGGTTATCAGCTTGGTGATTTCCTTCTGCAAATAATCAATGCAAAAAAAAAAAATTACAACAACAATAACAAGCTTTTATCCTACTAAGTGGAGAAATGCAAAAAAATACTGAATTACAAAAAATTAAAGTAGATGTTTAGGTTTTGAATTTCATGCAAAAGAACAAGGACTAAAATGTCAAAATACTACCCAGACTACTTCCATGGTGCCATTTTAGTTTGTTCCTATACCATGTTAAACGGAAGCTAAAATAGTCCACACTAGGGATTATTTCACATATTGAAAAAAATTGAGGACTAAATTAATACTTTACGAACTCTAAAACTAAAATGAGTCCTTGCAAACAGTCGGGGAGATCATTTCGACATTTTTCTCGAAGAATGAGTTACTTCTCACTTGTTTCCAACAATACTCTCAAACATAATCAATTATATGCTCACTCTACCGAGAAATATTGTTTCTACTTTGGGGCATTTGTATATGTACATGCCGCCCAATTCCTATGTATTTACATATCTAACACCAAAACTTTATATTTATGCCACCCAAATCTTTCATATCACATAAAAAATACCACCATTTTAACTTTTCACAAGTGAAATACACCTTTTTCATGCATAGGTAAGGTGGCATGTATGTAAATATTAAAATTTAGATGTTATATATGTAAATACCATATCATTGAGAAGTATTTATGTAAATAGTCCTACTTCAGCTCCATCCTATAACTAGAAAGCTCATCGTGTCGTTTATTATGAATCAACAAGATAATTACCAGGCCGAGGTTGATTGCCATCGACATGCCTCATTGGAGGTTGCTCGGCACGTAGCGGCGGAGCTCCGCCTCTTCGAATCCATCGGATCAAAGGAGTGAGGGCTCCAGTCTGATACCTGAAATGTTCTGAAACCTGAATCAGTCGTTCACTCAAAAACCACTGTAGATTAATCCAGGCTTAAATGAAGGAGAATTTACAGAAATCAGACACAATTCTTATGTATTTACATATCTCACACCAAAACTTTCATATTTACATACATGGCACTCAAATCTTAAATATTGCAAAAAAAATAGCAATATCACCACCTTTTAAAAGTGAAATATATCTTTTCATACAGAATCTTAAAGCTCCAAACTGCTATGTATGTAAATATGAAAGTTTAGGTGCGAGATATGAAAATACAAGAGAGTTGTTTGCTACGTATGTAAATTTCCCTAAATTAATTTGAGAATCATGGAAGAGACGAAATGACTCACAGATAGATGAAAGACGCAAATAGGACGAGGAGAATTAATCGCTGTCTCGATCCTTCTTGGCTGAACAGAAAGACGACAGCTGCGAGCTTGATGATGAGAGCCAAATCGAGCTGAAATGCGACGTGAAATCTCCTCACAATTACTGGTCTCTGTGGCCCTTGCAGTTGTCTTGCTTCCTGTCCCTGCTCCTCGCTGCCAGTGCCAGCAGAGTTTGTTCTCCTGGAAATTGCATTGTAAAACAATTTGGCCCGTTAATTGTTACGATAATGCACACTGGAATTAAGAAATCTTTATTGTGATTTCCATGCAAAAAAATCTCAGGGCACATGAACAAATATATGTATGGATGATGACGATTACTGAAAGGTGAAAAACATATTATCACAGGAAGATTTACATAAATACGGCTTAATTCTTATGCATTTACATACCTAACACCTAAATTTTAATTTTTACATAAATAACACCTTACCTATGCATGAAAAGCTGTATTTAACTTTTAAAAGTTTAACTTCTGGTATGTTTTATGTAATACGAAAAATTTGGGCGGTACAAATGTAAAAAAGCAAAGTTTGGGTGTTTGATATGCAAGTAAATAGGAATTGGGTGGTATGTATGTAAAGGCCCCATTATTTTAGCCATAATCAACGTGTGATATTATATTTATAAAATAAAGGGAAACATGATTGAGATATCATGCTTCTAGCAATATGGTTTGAAAAGATTTGAAGAAATGCCATATCAGATGACTAACAAAATTTGCAACTTTTATGACATCTTGAGTTATTTTGTAGACGATAAACTATACTTAGGTATACAATTCAAGATTTATAGAATAACACTTAGGCTCATTTAAGCATCAAGATTGTGCTATAGTTAAATAATCCTAGCTATATTATGTGGTTGGCCTTATATATAGCATTGAAAAAAACTTGTGTTGCGACAAATGACGGTAAAAGTGGGGAATAAGATTCAATTTATTTAAGTGAAAATTCCTGAAGCAAAGACTTGAGCACAACATTATATTTGCCAATTACACAAAGGATCAATCCAAACATTAAAATAACATCTTATATCCAAATCATAGTATACTTATAACCTTGGCTTTGTTGATGCCTATAGATGGCCTTTATAGATGGTGGACAGACTTTTTGGATATTCACAAAGTTCACAGAAAATTTGTGTAATTAGTCAAAATTTCTACATATTCCTTTATCTCTATTATTTGTCTTTTCAATATTTTGGATAAAGTTAGCAAGAATAGGAGAAGGATGAATTTGAAGGCTTTGCTATTTTGCTGGAGAAAATTAGAGAGTTTTAACTGATAAAATGGAAATTTATTGGGATTTTAAATTGAAATTTGAATTCGATTGGGATGTTTATGTGGAGAACAAGTGATTCTAGGAAGGACTCCTCTCCGTTCTAAATAAACAATGATTTTACCATTCTCTGAATGGTCATTTGATGCAAGAAAATTTTGTGATATAGATTGAAAAAAGAGAAAACATAAAGATAATTAGAATTAACAAGATATCAAGGTACACAACTCTCATGCCAATGCGAGGAGATAACCTAACTTGAAACTTTTCAAGTCTCACAGTTGATCAAATATCAAATACCAATATAGACAAGAAGCCTTCACATCAACAATGAAGATTCTATTCATACTATTAATAACATGACACATAATTCCAATATTTCAAATGAAGAAAAAAATAACAACAAACTAACAATTTAATAGCAAATTAATAAATTGCTGGCAAATTAACAGATGTCTAACAAGATGCAAACAAATTATTAACAAAATTACTAGAAAAATGGACTAATATTTCATGTATGAATGAAATGAAGAGACTTACGTAGGAATTTTAAAGGTAAGAGGGATAAGCGTGCTAGGAGGAAACCCAGGCATCATCCCCATAAATTGTGGATAAACAGGGACAGCATAAAGGCCAGGGCCATAATCGCTTTGGTCTAAATTTTGGGGAGGCGTCTGAACCGAAGAGGCGGTCTGAGAAGCCTCTTGACCGGTGCTTTGTGAACTATTTTGAGCCTGGAAAAAATTGCCGCAAACTAGTAAATTATAAATATTATAAAATGTCAAAAGATAAGGAAAATAAGTATTGCATGCAATTTCATGAATCAGATGCAAAACGGATGCATGACGTTTGTAACTAGTCCTTGCATGGTTACTAATATTTAGTGTTAATAGTATCTTAACAAGCAACAAACATAAAAACCCTAAGAAAGAAGATTATTACTACTACTAAAAAAACAAGGGAAATTTACATATCTAGCACACAATTCTTGTGTATTTACATATCTCACATCCAACTTTTCATCTTTACACACAGCAAAACTAGCAAAATAAGTGGGTATTATGTAATAATAGCATGTGAATTAATGTGCATTGTTAAACATGCTGTACAATACAACATGAAAAGTGATAATGCGCACATCATGGACGAGAACAACTAGTGGTAACAAACAAAGGAATTGCAAAATAAACTTAAAGGTTTGCTCAAATAGCGTTTGTCTTTCTTAGTTAAACTCATTATGAACTCTGACATAGCTTCGAATCAATTAGGCACTTAACCAAGCTTAATGAAAAACATATTAGCATTACTTACAACAAAACGTTTATAAAACTTCAATTACCAGTGCAAACATACAATAACCAGCACCAAGCATCACATACACATTCCGTACTTTATGGTTCATAGAGATTAGGAATCCTCGTAGCAAGGTGAAATAAAAGAAACGGAAGATTTACATGCATGCCACCCAATTCTTATGTATTCATATATTTTGATTTTCAGAATTTAAAGGAATAATATTATTGATATGAAACGGGGTATAAGTAATCCTTACAAGAATCCTAGAATAGAAAAGACAATAAAAAAAGAAATAACAAGAAAAGAAAGATATAACACATATATCTCTAATTAATCAATTCATATTAATTAGTTGGAGATAAGGAAAACAACATAAAGCATAAAATAGGAAAGGAAATAACTTCAATCAAAGAAAATAAAATTAACCATCATATCTTCTAACATGAATAAATTATTTCCTAATATAAGTTCTAACACTCCCCTTCAAGTTGAAATATGATTCAAAACCATGTTCAACTTGGACTTAAAAACATCAAACAATGGGCAAGGAAGATTCTTGAAGTCTTCATCCCATACTTGACAATCAACCCCAAGAGCATTTAAGAATATGTTTAGTTGACTGCAGTTTCTGCAGTGTCTGTAGATAGGCGAAAGACTCCTACAGATACTACTGCGGGAAAGTTTGCAGAAAGTTGACAGCCAAGGAAAAGTTGAAGGGCATGGCCTGCAAAGATAAAACTCCGAAGGAGAGCCTACTGCGGGAAAAAACTCTGGAGGAGGGCCTGCTGCAGGGAAAAGCTCCGAAGGAAGGCCTACTGCAGAGAAAATTTCGGAGGACCTGCTGCAGAGAAAATTTCGGAGGAGGGTCTGCTGCAGGGAAAATTTCGGAGGAGGGTCTGATGCAATAAGAAAAGGCTCCGTAGGAGCGTCCACTATAGGAAGAATTCGGGTAGAGGACTTGTTACACGAAAAACTCCGGAGAAGGGCCTGATATAGAAAAAAGCTACAAAGAAGAGTCTGATGCAAGAAAACATTCCGAAAGGGGACTTGATGTAGGAAAAGACTACGAAGAAGGCCTACTGCAGAGAAAATTTCGGAGGACCTGCTGCAGAGAAAATTTCGGAGGAGGGTCTGCTGCAGGGAAAATTTCGGAGGAGGGTCTGATGCAATAAGAAAAGGCTCCGTAGGAGCGTCCACTATAGGAAGAATTCGGGTAGAGGACTTGTTACACGAAAAACTCCGGAGAAGGGCCTGATATAGAAAAAAGCTACAAAGAAGAGTCTGATGCAAGAAAACATTCCGAAAGGGGACTTGATGTAGGAAAAGACTACGAAGGAGGCTCTGTTGCAGAAAAAATTCAGGTGGAGGATTTGCTGTAGAAAAAGCTCCGAAGAGGGGCCTAATACAGGAAAAAATTCCATATGAGGATCTAATGCAGGAAAAGGCTCCTGAGAAGGGTTGTGCAATAATTCTTTTCTCTTTTGCTTCACAAGCCCGTCTTACCTCTGCAATAGGGGAACTCTTCTCTACAGGTATTTTCATCTTCCTAGCCTCTAATAGTCTTTGAATTTCATCTGGGCCTTTAGCAACAACATTGCAGGATCACTCCAGACAAACGGGGCAGAGATCAGTATCATTACAAAAGATCAAAGATTGCAAACCCTACTCTCTTGCAATATTAAGTATGCCCACTAGAGACAATGTGAGATAATTTAACGACGGAAAAACTAGTATGTTTGCATCATAATTGGGCACAAGTAAATGCTCAACTATAGTGGTAACGTCAACCAGAATCTGATTGTTATAGTTCAATGTTAATCGGCTAGAACCTTCTAGACAAGAGTAAGTGGCAAGATCTAAGATTCCCTCCACAAGCTGCATAATGCAAAGGAGTGATTCCTGCTTCGATCAAATTCATCAAAGAACCATAATGAAATGTCACGGCGACAACATTGGCATGCAAATCAAGCAAAAGTTGAACGCTCAACATAAAACTTCAAAGCAGCTTTGTTAAGAGCAGTGATACTACCATCAGTTAGCTTGCTAATAAATTTTGCTAGGGCAATCTAAACATGTATAGTCTCAAAGATAAATCAAGGCTATTGCTCCTGCTACATCCATCTCTATCCTCAACCTCAAGAGAAGTTGTCGTCGAATAGGGAGCGCTAGGAACAAAGTCAGCAACCAAAAGCCTTATGCACCTAACATGGCCATCCATCACTATAAAGTGCAGCATCATCCTATCACTCAGATAGTCTGCTCTATTAACATTGCAGCGATAGAGCAACAGCATCTACACAACCTCCCGTGTCAACAAGCTTGCATCAAGGCCGTCTGACCGCAATAATTCATAAAATTTACGTCCGTCCCATTGTCTAGCAACAGCGTAACCATATCGTTGTGGCCCTTTGCGACGGAGAAATGGAGTGGAGAATTGAGACATTTGAAGGTCGAGTACTTGGCTAGACAAGGGTTGAATTCGAGCAACATGCGAGCCTCAATAAGGTCACCATCCCTCCCTACTAACACAAGACGTTCCCCGTAAGTGGAGCAACCCAGGGAGTTTCCCATTGTTAACTACGTCGTTGGCAATGGATCTCTAAGCCGACGATGCCTCTTCCAAGACCTCTCTTTGTCTCTCCTGTGTCTAGCTTTCTTTGTCAACCTTTCACCACACATCTACGTCGTCGAGGAAAAAAAAAAGCAAACCCACGATGTATTTTCTCCCTATTAGAAGTTATTTTAGAAAATAATTTATTTCTGCGAAAAGTTATGAGAAAAGAATTATTTCCTTAGATTAAAGAATTATTTCCATTCCTATTATATATTTATTAACTTGAATTAAGAATTATTTCTGCAAAAAGTTATGAAAAATAAATTATTTCCTTAGATTAACGAATTATTTCCATTCATATTATATATTTATTAACTTGAATTAAGAATTATTTCATTTCCTATTTAGGCTTTCCTATTTTATGTTATTTTATTTATCTCCTATTAATTAATATGAATTGATTATTGGAGATTAGGTGACATATCTTTCATTTCATGTTATTTCCTTTTTATGAACTTTCATATTCTAGAATTCATGTATGAGGACATATCTTTCATTTCATGTTATTTCCTTTTTATGCACTTTCATATTCTAGGATTCATGTATGAGTTATTTATACCCCTTTTATATCAATAAAAAGATCTCGCTTTATTCTGCATTATTCTAAATTTCAACATACTATCCCAACAAGGTTATCTACCCTAGCCTCCGGTTCTCTTCCAGAACCTCCAGACTCCCTTTCTGTCATTCTCCGTGTGAGAAGGGAGGGGCACTCGTCTTGGTATTTGAAACAGTCATTTTTTTCTTCTCTCTACAGGGAAGCAACAGCAAACCATAGCAGTCGAGGTGAGGCGATCAAGGATTGGACTCTACTCTGGCGCCACAACAACGACCCGACTGCTCTCTATGTGCACGATCAAGAATCCCCGAAACAATCGAACATGCGATGAACACGTCACTTTGCACTACGCTATGTCGCGATGGAACTAAGGAACTGACGGTCGAGCATCTGCTCTCAGCTTTAGAGGCATGTGGGGTGGATAACTACAGGATTGAGATTGAAGGGGACTAGGAGGGCCTCCTGCAGTTTTTTCTAGCAGTTGTCCCTTTTGGTTGGTTTTCCCTACTGCTGGCCTGCTCTGCATTCATCCAGCCCTTCCTGGTTTCCAACACAGCCACCGGTCTTCCATGCAAGCACAACCGGTCTTCTCCGCTTGTTTTTTGTAGCTGCTGATTTTTTACGTCTATTTCGTGTAACAGTTTGGCTTCCTGGTTTCCAGCAGTCCGACTTCCCTAATTTTCTGCCAATCCCTACACTTGGAGGTGTGTTTTTTCTAGAGGTCCTTCCCACTGTTTTTTGGCGTTTATTCCCTGCAGCAGTCCGACTTCTCGATTTCCTGCAGTTCGGCTTCTCTGATTTCCTGCAGTTGTCCAGATTTTCAACAGTACAACTTTCCTGATTTCTTGCAGTCTTACAACAACAGTCCTCTCTTATCACTACTCTGCATCTCAGCTGGTGTTAGGCTTCTCAAGAGCGATCCCCTCAATATTGACCAATCTACTCTCACTGACAATCTATTCTTGTGACTAGGAACCCTGGTGATGAGGTCTTCTCTGGTTTTACCAGCAAATAGAGGGAGCTTAAGGCAGTTGTCATTTCCACGGGCGTCCATACATTCTTTGACGAGGCCACCCACCTTGTTGACAACAACAATCAAGTTGGCCAAGTTCCCCCCTGCAATGGGTAATCCCTGCATTTGCTCCATCGCCATTGGCATGCTTGTAGAGGTTATAGTCATGTATCCTAAACAACATTGCAAGTACAATCAACCTGCCTATCCTCTTGATTGGAGGCATCCTAATCGCCTGCCCACTGCCTAGTCA